ATATATTTTAATATATTTAATATATTTTAATATATTTAATATATTTAATATATTTAATGTATTTTAATATATATAGGTATATATATTTAAATATATAAAATATATTTTATGTACGTTTCGTTTAAGAGTGACTTGTTCCAGGCATAATTTATCGGCTGAGTTCCGGTTTAAGTCTTGCAATAAATATAAGCTTTTGAGACATGATAAAAAAAAGTGTTGTATAGTTATTATTAATACATTTGTATTAAAAATCATAAAAATAGTTTTTTTATTAATTAAATAAAAGTTGGTTGTTGTTAAGCTTACAAGTTTTAAGTGATATTAAATAAATTCTAGAATTAATAAATATATAGAGTAAAAAGTTTTTACAGAGGAAAGATAATAAATCCAAAGTTAGGCCAGGTACTAATAAGATAATGTATGTATCTAATAATAAATATATTCCTTTACAGCATATATTTTTTTATTAGACCCAAAAATATGTTTCCACACAAGTGCTAAATTTTTTATTTTCATTATAGAATATTTCTATATACTTTTAGCAATATTGCTTCAAATCTCTTATAAAAATTTGTAATTTAATTTTCATTAAATTACTACATTAGTAGTAATTTTACTACATTAGTAGTAATTTTTATTTCCTTTTCTCATCTGAAATCTCTTAAAAATATTTAACTTTCTCAAAGGATTAAAAATCGTACTACAATTTTAATATTAGGATATATATATATATGTATTTATTTTTTAAATTTATTTTACTTATATTCAAAAACACATAATAAATTTTGCATATTTATTTCACTTTTACAATTTTACTCATTTCTATTCTCAATTTTACTTAAATATTAATTTCATTTTCTCATAAGCATACATAAAATTTAGAAGTAGAAGTAAAACTAAAAACGAATAATCCAAATGATATAAAAAGTTTTTAAGACTTAAAAATTACATTCATAAAGATTAAAATTTAAATAAAATTCTTTTTTTTTGTGTAAAAAAATGTTAAAATTATTACAAAAAGCAGAGGTGGTGGTGATTATTGTTTAGTAAATGTGTGTGTTTTTATAGTTGTTATCCTTATGGGTTGCATTATAATTATTATCATCATCATCATCATCATCATGCAATATATGACGATTTATACTAATCTCTATATAAACGGTTCTGATTTATTTTTAATCCTGAATTTCCTTCCATTATAAACATATTCTCTCTTTTCGACGTCAGCATTCAATAAAAATAATAGGTCTTCTTGTTGTTTGTTTGTTTGTGGTGGTTGTTATAAATAAAAAATCGTGGGTCAGTTACTTTTGTTGAGGTTGATTGATTTGTAGGGTCGCGAGATGGATGATTCCTTAAAAATGCTTCGGTTTTGTTTGCTGGTAATGCAAACAAGAAGAAAAGAACTAGAGATCAAATTCTGCAATTTCCTTTTCGTGATTCTTTTTTTATGTTTTCATTTTGTTTGTTAATTTTGATACATTTTAGTTTTTTTTTGTTTAATTTTTTTTTTTATATATAATTTTATCTTAATTCATTGTTGTCAAAATGTTATTTGTTGTTGCATAATTTATGCAATTTTTTCGACTTTAGTCACGAATTGGAATAGTTGGTGGCTTAATATGGCCACCGTCTCCTTCGGAGACAAAACGTTTACGTCCTCTGAAAAAGAAAGAAAAAAAATTATTATATAAATTACATTTTTCATTATAATAAATATATATATATTATAAAATAAATAAATATAATATAAAATAAATATATATATAATATAAAATAAATATATATATAATATAATAAATATTATATAATATATAATAAGAATATTGGAATTTTAAAAATAATTTTAAAATTTAAGCTAGTATCAAGACCCACAAGCCTTCCTATTTATTTAATCTATCCCTAAATCCATTCCCACTTCCCAAAAATGCCTTCCCCTCTTATACAACTAATATTCAAACCCAAGTATTCGTCATAAAATTCTCATTTTATGTTAATTGCTTTACAGATCTCTGCGGGCTACAACAATTTTGTTCTTCTTATAACCTATAGAGATCTGTAAAGAGCTCTGTAGGTCACAACACCCAATTCGTTGTGGCAGAGCTCTGACGTAGTTCTGATTTTTCGGGCACGTCTATTTAAAAACGACTTTAGTATGTCATTCTATAGTGCTTAGAAGAAGAACTAACTTATACTTCAATATTGATATAACGTATTAGTCAGTCTTAATGGGCTCTGGCATATTCTTATGCCACTTTTATAATAAAATGGCATATAAGAAGTAACAAGTTCTAGAGATTAAAAATTATTTACAGACATTTAATTAGAAAAAATAGTTTGATAAAACACTGATCATAGATATTTTGCAAAATCCAAACAGCAATTTAACTGCAGAAGTATAAGATTTATAAATGCATAATAGGGTTTAAAAATATATTCAAATACTACTGATTATAGATATTTTGCAATATTCGAAACAGCTGTGTAGACGGTATGTAACTATATTTCATTATATGGTCCTAATGGTCCTTACATTGATGATGTATATTTTGCAATATCCAAAACATTTTTATTTTCAAAGACCATTGATGAAGAATATTTTGCAATATTTATAACGGCTGTATGATCGGTATGTATCTATAATCTACAATATACCTTTATTACCAAGGACCATTGATGATAAATATTTTGCAAACCAGAAATGGCTGTATACGAGTAGTCAATATCTAGAATATTTCTAAAGATTACTGACGATATATATGTATTTTACTGTATAACTGTATTATCTATCTTTATCTAGCTTTTAAAGTTGGTTTTGCAATACCTACTATTATAAATGGTGGGTAGTTATAGATATTCAATATAACAACAATCAGACATCTGAAAATCCTTATCGAAAAACTTACTTCCGAGAAGTTTTTATGTATTACTAATGTACGTGTGTTTATGAACTAGTGGTATAAAGAAAATCGGAATGCTATAGGGAATGACACCCGGAACAGAACTATGAGTAACCTTTAATAATCTACACGTGGTAATAAAAAAATTAACCAAAAAAAAAAACTGTGGTTAATTGGTTTATTGCCCAGGGGAATAAAATTGAAATCTACTAAAAACTATGAAACCACTTATAGACATCAATGATAAAAAAATTAAAAACTAATCAATTTTCAGTTAATAGAGTTCAGTGCATGCACAATTTACAAATTCAATCAACTTTAACATTGGTTGTCTATGGAAAATCGATTCATTTCGCCCTGTCTAACGTTACTCCTCTCGTCCACCACCCATTACCCATTACCCAGTAAAGCTTCATGTATATTTGAAATTCCAAAACAAAATATTGTAAATTGTAACATTACACAGCCGTTACATTTTCTTGGCTAAGGTTAATAAAAAGTGAAAGTTCCAATAACAATACCAATTTCGCTCCTATGTTGGATACACATTATTTATCCTGTAAAATATGTGGGTGTGTCAGTCATTTCGAATAAATCCGATGCAGAGTTTTGCGCAACTGCAGTACAAGTAGCGCAGCTATGCAATTTTTATAATTGGTGCTCTGTTGCGGCAACACTTAACTGTGATTACACTCTCAACCGTAGCTATTAGCACCGGTCGGGCTCGGGTCTATTAAAACTATGGTATTTCGTCGTACACATTTACACTTCCATTTGAATGGAAAGCGTAAGGCGGCAGGGCAGGGCAGGCAGGCAAAGCTTGCATTGCACTGTTTTGCAAGGCAGTTTAGCACAACAAATAAACCACTTACGGGCGAAAAGCTTTTTCATGCTTAAAGGCGGAGTTCATTGCATACACAATATTGCAGCAGCAGCTGCAGTAGCGGTGCCGAGTAGTGAGTGCATCCATTAACAATACAGTGGGTCAATGAAGTTTTTTGACCGAAATGTTATATAACGAAAATATTGTGGACTGAATGAAACTAGAAATAAGTACGATATCACATAAACACTGCTTGGACTGAAAAAAACTTTTAAAAACGCCGGCTAAGTAGTCACAACATAAAAAATAAGTGGGGGAAAAAGATATTCGGTATTGTCATTTCTTTTTATTTGTAGTAGAGGATAAAATATTGATTAGATGTATGCAGGGTAGCTGTAGAAAAGTAGTATCTTTCTCAAAAAGATTCGTTATTAGGAATTCCAATATTTTAAAGAACACTAATACTCATCTTTCACATGCTGAAAGATCCTAGCGTTAATAGTAATAGTACATTGAAGTACTATAAAACTTTATCAGAAAGAATATGACTGTAATATATTTATCTTGTTAGCCATAATATCTTTAAAGTCACCCTCCTTTCCAATTCTATCAGGTCAAGACTTACACAAAATGAAATTAGTCCGGACGTTTGAAGGTAAAATAATTCGCGATTATATTAATTATTATAATTAATTATAATATAATATAAGGGCAAATCCAATGGCAAACACTATAACGTTTACAATTTCGTTAGAAGAAACTCTAGTAATCGATTACGTTGTCTCTTCTGCTAACAAGCTGTTTTACTTGATATCATTACACACTCTCGTTAGCAAGACAGGAGTTCCATCACTAACCCCTGACTTGCTGTAAATTTTGACACACAGGTTCCTTAATTAATTACGTTTTAACTTAAGTAGCACCAAACCATTCGTTCTCTGATTTCAGGCTACATTCGTGCTCATCACGAGCAAAAATTCGTTCGTGTGTACAAATACTGTCAATGAATAATTGTTCGCATTACTGCCGTATAACCTTACACCCATTCAAGCTATATAAAAATGTCTATTCCAAATGTCTATACAATTTTGCATAGTGTTCACAGTATAAGGTGCCTTGGTACATCCTCACATATGACATACTAATAGACATATTTAGAATAGACTCGGTCAAAAAATAAAGCTACTCCTGAAAATCGACTAATCTCAGAATAATCTCTAGCCGCACGGGGCGGTACGCAGTTCTTAGATTAGTCATAGAATAATCACAAAGTTTTTGAGAAATACATAAATTAGTCAGAGAGAAGGGTGGGACTCTGCTGAAAACCCCCAGCTAACAGAGAGTAAAAGTGCCCTAACTGCACTAACTCGGAAAAGACTTAACAAGATGATGATAATGATAAAAACTCAAGTGGGCTTTGGGTACTAGGCCGTTACTTCAACCTAACTTAAGCTCATAGTTTAACATAGCGATCCTTCAACTACTATGTAGAGGATACTTATAACCCATAAAAATCGTTGTTATTTACTATTTGAATTGATTGATAGGTTCAATAATATCTTTGTAATGACAGTGTGAGGATTTTTGAAGAGGAGTGTATAAAAGTTTTTTGAATTAATAGGAGTTTTTATGTGTTAAATCCCAACTAGGAATTTTTAAATTATAGACCAGATCTTGGACTTGAATTTTTTATTTCACAAGATTCTCAAAGGGATTTTCAATACTAAGAAATTTTTATGAAAAAAAAAACAATAGGCCAACAGACCTAAGTGGATCCATTGTAATAATCCATTGTAATGATCCATTGTAATGATCCAGTGTAGTAATCAAAATTAATACCAGTTAATAGAAGAAATATGCAAAATTTTAAATTTAATAACTATATAAATTATGGAATAAATATACTATTATTTAAAGCAAAATAATATATTCAAATTATTCAGCGAAACCAGTAGCCATGGACTAAGATTGCAATATATTATTGCACAGTTAAAATTGGATCATTAAAGTGCGATAAATATTAATTGGAAAGGCTATCATTTTGCATTAAATCGCCTGAAATGGTTCACGCAACATAAACTGTGATCGCACAGCCAATGTCTGTACAAATTTTATTCATTTGCTCTATGAGTTGGCACAAATTTTCGTCGTTTTTTTTTTCATTTTTTTTTCTTTTTTTATTTTTTCATAATAAAAATATCGGCTCAATGCATTTGTACCAGAGATGCAGATGCAGTTGCAGTGATTTTTTTCTATATATTTTTTTTTTGTAACGTCATCATTGACGTTTTTCTCTTTTCTGTTGTTGTTGTAGGTATTGTCGTGGTCGCCGACACTGTCGTTATAATCTTTGGATTCGTATATTTGCAGTTGGAATTAGTGTTTTTTTTTTGTTTTTTTTTCCTCTGTTGCACAAATTTTCGAGTTTATTCACCCGCTGACCTTTTTTTAAAACGTTCGGTTCGCAAACACAACCGATTGCGGTTACCAGCAGAGGCGTGACTGCGTTGTGTTGAATGGCGACGACGACGATGTCTTGAATTACTTGGTCGTTGGTGGGTTGAAGCTGGAGTTGCTACAACTGGTTGCTTCGCGTATCTGTCTTTTTAGTTTTCAAACAAGTTTACGACTTTTTGTCTTTTATTAAGATTGTTGTCGTAATCAGAACACTACGCCACCACACCGTCACTTAAGTTTTTCAATTATGTTCGATCGTTACTCGATAGTAATAAATACAATACATGTATTGTCATGTGATATGTGATTATAGACACTGGCTGTTAGCTGCTATTGCATATTGCATATAATAATAGTTGCAACATTATTACAAAAAGTAATTACTGGACTGCGCTCAAAAAATAAATAAAAATTAGAAAACTAGAAAATTACTCTAGTTTTTAAAAATTCTGTATATTATATATTTCTATTTTATAGATTTT